TTAGGTTTGTGTGCAACAGCAATTTGGAAGCAGGAGGATGTGAGATTCCGGGTAAATACCCTCTGGGAGAACAAAATGAACCCACTATGCCTGATTTTATTTATCATCACTTTTGTAATTTTCTAAATCATTTCTTGATTCATTTGATCATCGTGAAACCTCTCCGAGGTGAGCACTATTACTATTATTACTTTTATTATCACTATTATTCTTCTTAATTTACAGAGGAGTACTTAAACTCTAGAAAGTCTGGCTTTCACCATCACACAATGTCATTTCTACACATGGACTAGAAACAATTTTTCAAAATAGTTTTACAATTCTACTTTAGATTTCAGAAAGTATTAATGAAATATTTGTGTATGTATATATAATGTATTACATATGAGGTCAGACAATAAAGTTTGTTTACTCATCCCAGAAAAAATGTTTTATACTTCATTGCAAAAAAATCACAAGGGTCACCTTTGGAGGTCCCCCCTTGGCCATCTGGAGACCAGAGTGCTATTCAGCAATGAGATGTGTAGCACTTTTTCTAGGATGAGTTTGCAAACTTCACTGTCAGACCTTGTACAAGGAGGGCTCTGGTGGCCATTCCAGAAATAGAGTTCCAAAATTGTTTTGAAGGGTGGACTAAGTGATGGCGACAGTGCACAGCTTCCCACGGGGAGTACCCCAAAAAGGTCTGTAGGGATATTTAGCAATGAGGCATGCAGCACTTTTTCTAGGATGAGTTCTTGAACTTAATTGTCCAAGCTTGTGGTTATATAAAGCAAACAAATGCTCTCCAACAAAGGAATTACAGTATTTTACAGTTTGTTTTAGCTGTAGGCATTATTTATATTGCATAATTAATTATGCACTAAATATGTACTTAATCAAAGTTTATGATATGCATATATTAGGAGTTATTGAAGGGAATCATGGCTGTAGGTGGAGTAAGAAATGAGACCTAGTAAGAATGCCGAATTTTTGTCTACTAAAAAAATAGAACACTCTAGGAGGCCCAGAAAATAGAACACTGTATAGTCCCAGCTGCTTGGGAGGCTGAGGCAAGAGGATCACTGGAGTCCAAGAGTTTTGAGCTTGCTCTGAGTTATGATGCCACAGTACTCTACCCAGGGTGATAAAGTGAGACTCAGTCTCAAAAAAAGAAAAGAATAGAAAAAAGAAAACAAAGAAGGAAAAAAAGAAATAAAGGAAGGAAGGAAAAGAAAGAAAGAAAATAGAAGATGTTTAAAATCTATAAATTGACCAAAAATAATATAATTAAGAATATTCAAGAAAATACTAAAGAAATCTATAATAAAGTTGAAAAATAATGGTCTCTTGGGAGTAGGATGTCTGGTATGAAATAAACGGGGTAAGTAATTGTCATTATCTAGTTTTATGGTGGTCTTAACCTTTTAGATCTATCATTATAGTATTATAATGTATTATCTTGACAAAACCCTTAAATTACATATATGTGTGAATGTGTGTTAGCTATGTAGTTTCATAGGGTCCTTTTATTTTTTGTAAATTATTTAAGAGAGGTTAAATAATTGAAATTGATTTATGATAGGAAATCATTTTCCTTAGCAAAAGTTCAATTGATTATACATAAACTAAGCTCCCATGGGAACCTAAGTAGTCTAAGCAACCATCGCTAAAATATGTATATCAGACTCATGTGCTAGCAAACTTGGAATTTCATGTCCTTTATGCTCTTACGCATTCTCTTGTCTTTTAAATTGTCAATGGAAGTAAATATAAAACAAAACAAATGCTAAAATTTAAAAAAAAAGGAAGTTAAAACAGCAACAACACTTAGACTCCATCTCATGTTCTGGAAGGAATTCTCTCAGATAGGCAAAAATATCAACTATTACTTCCTCTACCGAAGGAAATTTCTGGCCTCATTTCCATATATATCAAAAATGATCCCTTGAATAGATGATTTTTAAGATTAATTGCATTTTAACTTTTTTCTTGGAAATGTGCCTACATTTGCCCAAGATGTTCATCTTCCTTACCGCACTTAATCTTCAAAGGACCTTGCAGATTTATCAGGGCAGGTGCATTGTGGGTAGATTTTGGCTCATGATAATTAAACAGCCCATGCAAAGTCAAATAGCTCCAACTTTCATAAGGAAAACTCAGCCTCACATTTTATAAGCCACATATTTATTGCTCTTTACTATATTTTTACTGCATTGTTACACTGATAGAAAAATTCATCACTACCAAAGTGATGCACACACCTCATGTGTTTATTTGCTCATCTATAACTCATTAAATATTTATTGAATACCTACTATGTGCAAAGCTTCTTGGACTTCTGAAATATCAAACTCCTACGAGAGAGATAGTTTCACAACCACATCATCATTATACCTTAGCCTTTCCTTTCTTCCTCTTTGCAAAATTAATCAGATAGGACTTGGACAGAGTCTTTCAGTAATTCTTAAGTTCTTATACCAACTCACATGACTGAGACACCTCACTATCTTGTCATTTTCATTGATTCAATTTCCACTTAATTAAGTGATTGCAGTTAAAGTCCTTATTCTCCATGAATCAATAATCAAAGAAAGGGAGATTGGCTTGTTATAGGAAAAAATCAAGATACAAATGACAAAGATAATCCCCACAGTGGAAAGTATTTTGTATTTTTTAGTCTGGAAACAATGATATCCAAAGCTGGCAAGCCCTGTAGATGGTCATTTTCATTTGGGTCATGTCTCCCAGAGTCCTTAAAATGTGATTGTTATCGTATGTGCACAAAATGAGAGGGAAGAGTCAAGAATGATTTCCAGATTTCTGGTTTGGAAGACTGAATATGATGATAGTGTTGCCCTAAAAAGTATAAAATGGCAAGAACAGTTAGAAGTAAAATAAGACAGAGAATGCCATTTTAGATATGTGCCTTTGAGACTTGTGGTGGGAGATGTCTAGAAAGCAGGCGCACACACACACACACACAGAGCCTTGGAGTGCAGGTCTAACTCCAGAGACTGGGTTGGGACATACAGACTCGGGAGTCATCATGATGGAAGGGAACTTCAGAACCATGGACTCATGCAGGAAATGCATACAGAGCAAGAAAATCATACAACAGAGGACAGAATCTCAAAGAGTTGTAGATGCTAAAACATTTACAAATGTTAGAAGGAAAAACCAGAGAACTCTGGGATAAAGGTATAGAGAGGAAACCAGGAAAGGGAAGGAAAAAGTAGGAGGGGATGCCAGAACAACTAAGAGGAACATTTAATAAAAGCAGTGGGAATTAAATGGGCGAAGTTCCTAAGTAAAGTGAGCCCAATGCTAAAGTGTTCCAATAGATTAGTAAATATGAAGATTGCTGCTGATTTTCGTCTGAGCAGTTTAAGGGAAGCAGAGGTAGAAGTCACTTTTTGGTGGGTGACTTGGGTGTGGAATGGTGAACAGGACGCGACTGAAGGCAGCCAGGCCACTGCTCTGATTTTGCTACAATGAACATGTAGCTACACTGGTGTGATAAAATTAAGAAGGACATGCATTAGCTTGACTAAAAAGGAAATTAAGGAATAAGAGAGTAGCTAGAAGGGGCTGTACAGATTTGAAGGTCATCTGTTGTTTGAAACGTTGGTGCACAGGAAAAGAAGGGAGAGGGACAGAATGCAAAAATCCAAGAGAGAGAGGAAATAACTATGAGAAAGCAAATAATATTTTTTTTTCTTGAAATGTGTATGAATGTACCCTACAAGGCTACTAGAGATCATGTCTGAATCAGATCTTAGTCTATAAAAGATTGGAAACATAAATGCATTTTCCCTTTATGTCTGACTAATACCATACCATTTATAATGAACTAAGGCTAACCCCAGGAGGTAGCGCGTTACTATTTTATAGATAACAAAATTGAACTCTGACATTCAACCTGCCTATGGTTAGGAGGAAGGAAAGAAGTGGTTCAGAAAATGAATCCGTGCTGTCTTATCTTCACTATGCTCTATCTTTGCTAATACTCCTGTGATCAGTGCTTAATGAGTCCTACAAATTCAGCTTCCTGATCCCAGAATAAGACAGATTTTGAAAAGCAAAAAAAAATCACAACCAATCAAAAAAATAATGTCTGAAGGCATTTTGTGGTTGCATCCCTCTTCAAGCAGCATAACATTTTTTTTCTTAAATATAAAAAATGGAAGACACATTATCTTAGATACGCATTTAAAAAAGTACAGTGTAGCAGAATGTCTTATAGGGGACTAAATGCAAAATGTGTTACAATGAGTAAAAAAATGCATCCTATTTTTTTTTTTTTTTGCAGTTTTTGGCCGGGGCTGGATTTGAACCTGCCACCTCTGGTATATAGGGCCGGCACCCTAGTCCTTTGATCTCCAGGTGCTGCCCAAAATGCATCCTATTTTTTGTAATTACTCAGAATAAATTATTAAAAGAACTACAATAGGAAATAGACATACAAAAATCATTTCCATGAAACAAAGTATAATACCATGTTTTGTGCCAAAGTTGGGTATAGCTTCCCAGATATCATTTTAATTTTTTCAAATACATTTTTTCTATTTCTCTTTCCCTTAAACCTATTACAGCATCTGTTTTATATCTGAAACGAATACAACATGTTCACATACACAGAGACATTGCCTGTTATTTTCTATTCGACATTTTTTGAAAGATCTAGAGAAAAATGCTTTAAAATCTCTTTCTTGTTACCCTTAAAATGAAAGCCGCCTTCAGTTGCCTGCTAGTAAATCAGGTGTAGATGTTAGTACCTTATGACATCTTTGGAGCTGTGAGTTAGGAGTGAAATTACCCTGAAATTTAGTTATAAATTCTTGAGATGAAAGTAAGACTTTCCTTTGCTAGGCTGCCTAGGTACAGAGATTCTGCGGTTGCTGGAGGGGTTAAAGTTGGAGCCACTAGTGCATATATATTACAGAGGATTCATAAAAACACGACAGTAGAGACTGGGTCAATCCATTACTGTGAACAAGCAGTGACCAATAGAAAAAGGGGAAGAAGATCCAAGGAGACTGAGGTAAGCAGTCTTCTGCGTCCCTGTTCCAGTGGAAACAATAGATCAAAAGGTGTTCTTGGTGACTGGGGCAAGTAGGTTTTACTTTTTCTCATAAGAGGTTTGACAGCATCAAGTAAAAACAAATTATTTTAGTGAAAGTTTTTTTTTTTTTTTCCTTGTAACTGATTTTTTTTTTTTTTTTTAGCAAACTTCAGACCCAGACCCAGGACTCAGCGGTATATTCCTGGAAAGCAAGGTAAACGATTTTGCACTTTTTCAAACTCCTAAAAGTTAAGAATTCAAAGTTTTGACTTATCTGATGCAGGGTTACAACTTCGATAACTAAAGCAAATCCCTATTCTGGAAAAAAAAAAAAAAAAAGAAATTTAATGTTGTCTGTGTTGAAAACTGGCCAGAGCAGCATACCACCGTCCTGGGGACTTTGACGGGTTGGGGAAGAAGCTTTACACTTGTCACTTTCTGAAATTTAATGACAAAATTGAAAGATCAGCATTTCATAAAGGAAGTTGATTCTGTCTTTTCCTAAGGAATCAGTAAAATCTGTTCTGTCCTTATTACCAAATGATTCAACTTAATGCACATAGGTCTGAAATATATAACATAAATATATATTATAAATACATTATTAAGTGTATTTAATAAATTACATTATTTCCTGTTAAAAGAGTTCTTCTTACCCACAACCTTTGATGATATTCAGTAAGGAGGGCTTATGTGTTTTGAATGCACCAAATATCAGTAAATACTAACCTATTCTTTATTATCCATACCGGAAACATGAAGACACACCTATAAAGGAATTCTCTACCTTTATTCTAAATATGGTTTCTGTTTCATTTGCTTCTTATTTCATCATAATGCCATAGCTGTACTTCTGTAATTGTGATACACCTCACAGTGTTTTCAACTCTCCACAATAAACTCTTTCTCTTTATGTATACATACCTCTCTAGAGAGAGCTTATAAATCAATTTCTCAGCTGAACACCTAGATGATGTACTGAGACATACAGAGGTCTTTCCCCACTCCAAAAAAATAAAACTTACCTGAGAAGTTCAGCTACAGAACAAGAGATTAATCACACACTTTTCTTCAGATGCTAGAACCTTCCGTCACAGTAAACTGCTAAAATGTTCTTTGATCATTTCATTTCTTTGGTTCCAGGGCCAGCAGTCCTGTGAAATTTCATCCAGATGTTATGCTCATTTAAGACTAAAAGTAAAAGCACATGCCTACGCTCAGGCACGACACAGACGCCCAGCTGGAATTATTAAGAGATGACTTTTTCTGTACTCTTGTATTCCACTACTGGTTTTAGTGCAGTTCTTTAAATCCAATAGCTTGAAATGGGAAAACATTGAGAGCTGCTAAAATTCACTTTCCATTCCTCAGCTTTCATTGTGATTGGGTTAAAACCAGAAACCTACAAGCTGGTGAATTAGTTTCAATGTTTACAAAATGTTTTGTCTATGGCCTCTGCTAAATAAATGTGTATTTATTTATTAATTGTAATCTTACTGTGAAATGTTGACATCTCTTCCACTCTCCTCTGAAGAAACAACGTTTATTGATCATTTTGATGTATATGATTGTCAAATGATTCAAGGTCAAATCCTCAAGTCTCTAACCATTACATCCCTTACACTCCAGGTGCTACAATGGCGGCCAGGCTCTCCTTCATCATCTGGGTGTTGTTCGTAACAGATACTGTGTGGACTCGAAGTGTGAGACAGGTGTATGAGGTACACGATCCAGAGGATTGGAGCGTTCATCATGACTTCGACTGTCCCACGGAGTGTTTCTGTCCCCCCAGCTTCCCTACTGCCTTATATTGTGAAAATAGAGGCCTCAAGGAAATTCCGGCTATTCCTTCAAGGATCTGGTACCTTTATCTTGAAAACAACCTGATAGAGACCATTCCTGAGAAGCCATTCGAGAACGCCACCCAGCTGAGATGGATAAATCTTAACAAGAATAAAATAACCAACTATGGCATTGAGAAAGGAGCCTTAAGCCAGCTGAAGAAGCTACTGTTCTTATTTCTAGAAGATAATGAGCTAGAGGAGGTGCCGTCTCCATTGCCAAGAAGTTTAGAGCAATTACAATTAGCTAGAAATAAGGTGTCCAGAATTCCTCAAGGGACCTTCAGCAATCTGGAGAACCTGACCCTTCTTGATCTGCAGCACAATAAACTAGTAGACAACGCCTTTCAAAGAGACACCTTTAAGGGCCTCAAGAACCTGATGCAGCTAAACATGGCCAAGAACGCCCTGAGGAATATGCCCCCGAGACTGCCAGCCAACACAATGCAACTGTTTTTAGACAACAATTCCATTGAAGGAATACCAGAAAACTATTTTAACGTGATTCCTAAGGTGGCCTTTCTGAGACTCAACCACAACAAATTATCAGATGCAGGTCTCCCAGCAAGTGGCTTTGATGTGTCCTCAATTCTAGATCTCCAACTATCTTACAATCAGCTCACAAAGGTTCCCCGAATCAACGCCCACCTGCAGCATCTTCACCTTGATCATAACAAAATTCAAAGTAAGTAATTATCAGGGTGTGTATAAGATTCTCACGGTTGTTAAATGTATTCTACGTCTTCTTTAGAGATAGCAATTGTGTTGCCCCTTCCCTGCCATATTTAAATTTTCCCAGTCCCAGATAGTCTTAATGGGCCAAGAAGTTCAAATAGCCATATTTAAATTTTCCCAGTCCCAGATAGTCTTAATGGGCCCAGAATTTCAAATATTTAAGTTAAATATCAAAAATTGGACTTCAGTAATCCAAGTGGCCATTATCTATTGGACAAACTAAATGGCTCTATCTTCTTTTTCCTCTAGAAAATTCTAATAGTTCCACCTCACTGAGTAGACTTACTTAGGAAAATTTACCAGCCACAAACAACCTCATGAGTACTAAGAAGGAATATGAGTTAAGAGGTATTAGGAAGGAATCTGTGTCCTAAAAACTACTGAGCAGCCGATTCCTGAAACTCCTCTAAGCTGAATCTGTAATTAAACGCCACATTGGAGTGGAAGTCTCAAACTTTATGTGTACAAGGTGGTGGCTCCATCTCCAAAATTTCTGACTCAGTAGGTTTGGGCTGATCCTGAGAATTTTCATGTCTAACAAATTCACAGGTGACAGTGATACTGATGCTTTGGGAAACACCCCTACTGAAGTTTAAGGCTTTCCTTAATTAGAATGGAAACGAATGCCCCTGGAAGCTGGCAAGTCCTTATGACTTATTGGCAATCATCAAGGTGGAAAGAATACACTCTCTTTTTCCCTGAAAATAGCTATCGATAAGAGAGGCAGGGGTAAGTGCAAAATTTTTGGAGTCAGAGGTGCCAGCAAGAGAAGTGGTTATAGAAAGAGAAGGCTGGAGGCATTAAACACAACCTGAGCATCTTCCTAAGTATTCCTCAGACCAGGCTGGACCTGGGATAGAGGTCAGGAATATCTTGGGCCAGCCTGGCACTTATCTACATACCTTCAATCCAAGCATGAAGCCCTTAGGAAAATAACTTTCAGGAGATTTTTTCCTGGATGACCTAAAAAAAAATGCAGTCCTAAAGTCAGATTCAATCAGAATGGTTTGTAAGAAAGTAACAGAGATACCTGTCAAAAGTTTGTCCTGCCTGGTTACTACTCACTAAAGTTTCCTTTAAGCAAATAATGACATTAACATACCATTTATAAGAACAGAATATTTTTTCCACTGGGTACGGTTCAAGTTATTTCAGATTTTTTTTTAATAACAGTGTACTTTGAGTATAAAATCCAGGAATTTAGTGGCAGGTTGCCCCCACAGCAGTGATTTTTCCGTAGTAATGAAACTATTACTTTAGCCCGTAGTCAAAAGCAAAAGATACAACAGAAACACATTTCTGAATAGATGAATCTGGTTAGCTGAACCAAATAGTATAATAGCAGAGATTGAACTCAATGTGCAATTATTTTTCCTGATATATTTTCTGTGGTTCTACAGGTACCTTCCTTGTGTGACAATAAAAACCCCACAGACAAATGTGGGAAGTTAATTCAAAGTGACTCCGCATAGAATCGTATTTGTGATTTGGGGATTCTATCCCAAGAATTTGTGAATGAGGATGTTTAAGAGTGAGATAGTAATATTCAGAATATAGTCAGAAGGTGTAAGACACTATCCTTCTTCCATCTGAACTGTGGGGTTTTTTCTAAGTATTATCTTATATGTTTCTTTTTTTTTTTTTCCTTCTGGGGCTGGGTTTGAACCCGCCACCTCCAGCAAATGGGGCCAGCGCCCTACCCTTTTGAGCCACAGGCACTGCCCAATGTTTCTATTTTTCAGTTGTTATCATTGTAGTGTACACCTGAAGAGTGTATAAAACACAAGTTTCTGGTCCCATCCCTAGAGTTTCTGCCTCAGTAGGAATGAGGTGGGGCCTAATAATTTAGTTTCCAGGTAGTATTGACACTGCTGGTCCATGATTTGAGAACCACTAATTAATTCCAAAAAGAACCTTCTGTGGCATTATTAGCAGTTTCTGAATAATGAGAAACTGATGCCCAGCTACCTGAAAATATTTGCCAAAGGACAAAGAGTAAGTGCAACAGCTAGCACTTGATATTTTCAGTGTTTTTCCCCACTCAGACATTGTAATAACAATAATTTTCTTCAATTCCCTGAATATAAGCATTCAAAAAAAATTTTCTATTAGTAGAAGAGCAACACCATCAACAAAGAGAAATTGACTATTTGCTTCTTAACACAGATATCAAATGTGGTCATTTCTATATTCCAAGAAAAAAAATGTGAAATAAGATTTCCCTGGCTAGAAGTTTTGGCTAACAATTACATCCCACCTTGTTCTAATAACTGTTAAAGAACTTGGTTCTTCTTGCTACATAATCTACTGTAGTTGTTAACAAAGTAGTTTCTAAGAAACATACTTTTATATGAAAAGTCCTCAGAATGTATAGGACAGTGAACTTTTCTTATGCAGTGTGACCAAAGCCTTATTTGTTTCTTCCAAATACCTTAAAGGACTTAAAATATGGTAAAAAAACAATTATTTATTCAAATGCATCACTTCCTGGCATTCTATGAGAAACACCATAATTCATTTATGAAAATATAATTATATTTAGAACACTTGTTTCTTGTATTTCATTTATTCAGACATGCATCAATTATGGGGCATGAGAGGGATAAGGGGACAGCACATGGAAAGAGGCACTTCCTCTTCATTGTCACCAGAAGAGAAGGAGGCTGGGCCTCAGCCCTGCCACTTGAGTACATTTCCTTACCTCTCTGAACCACTGTTCCCATAATGCTCAAGTGGAGAAAATAATATTCCCTGATAAAGCCTGTGTTATGATAAGGTAGTGATACATGTGAAAAAATATAAGTTTATAAGCACAAAACTGCTATACAAATACCAGTCATTATTTTTATGAAGACGAATTCACAAAATGACACAAGATCAGAGCAAAGCTTTGCTATAAGCGTAAAATTATTCACTACAATATGCATATGTGTGTAATAGTAGGACACAGAAGAGGGTCACTGCCCAAGTTAGGGGACCTAATCATGGTAGGTATTTTTGCTTGGAAAAGTTTTGAAAGGGGTTTAAAGGCAGTATGTGAATTAAAGTTTGAAATCGGCTGTTACACATGTCTCTAAAATAAATTTTGCTACTTTACAGCCTTCTCTTCTGGATGTTCCTAAATCTCAATATAGCCACTGGTGCCAAGGGCTCTGATCCAAGGCAGGTGTGCAATTTCTTCCATCCTCACCAAGTAAAGAGGCTTATGGGATATTTCCTGGCTTGACATCTTTGCAATTCAAATGTTGGCAAATGTTTTCTTTCCAATTAAATACACTTAAGTATGAAGATTCAAAGTTGTTTTCTGTGTCACATATGTAAAGTTATGTTAATTCTACTTTTTAAAACGCGTCTTCATAGACTATTTTCCATCTTTTAGGGTAATTTCAAGCATTTTCTCTTAATTACACTGATTTTCTACCTACTCATCCATCCATCCATTCATCTATCCGTCCATCCATCCAACCATCTGTGCGTCTATCTACCCAAATACTTACCCATTTTTCCAGTAACAAATCTGAATTGTTGTCTCCACCTCTAATGCCCTAAATCAGGGTTTTTCAACCTTCTTTGTATCACAACACACTTGAACCTATAGTTAAACTTTCAGGGCACATTTAAATTATGTTGATCAAAAAAGAAGTGGAAAAAAAAGAATATACATACTGTGCTTTGAAATTCTTTTGAAAATAATTTAATTAATGATCTTTAATAATCTTTGCGGCACACCAGTTGAACCTCATTGCCCTAAAGACTATCTGTCTTACTGTGTAGTAAATTAAACCTGCCTATCTCATTTGCAAGCTTACAAGACCCCTGTTACCTTACATACATAAGTTTCTACCATAGCTCCTAACATTATTTTCTTTTCTGTGCTCTATATTCAGTAGTTCAGAACATGCAGTAAGACAGCTATACTTTTATGGAATGTTTATTCCAGGTTCCTTTTATATACAGAGGAATGCACAGTCTCTGAATGACACAGAAATGGTTTATGTCTCTAACAGATTCATGCATCAGGCCACCAAGCCCCCCATCAGACCACTGCCATAGTGTTTTGCTCTCCCATCCTCCAGGCTCTCTGGCCTTCTAATTCATTCCTTCCCTTGGTCCTTGACTCTGCAGGTGTCAATGTCTCGGTCATATGTCCCGCCTCCTTCACTCTACCTGCTGAGCAAGACTCCTTCAGCTATGGACCGCGCCTCAGCTACCTGCGCCTGGATGGAAACGAAATCAAAGCCCCCATCCCCATGGATTTAATGACCTGCTTCAGGCTCCTTCAAGCTGTCATTATCTAAACACATTCTCATCAAATCAAAAAATTGGTCTAATAAGCTGTTGTTTCTGACAGGAAATTGGGTCACCACTCCTAGGCTTAGGGCAAAAGTCATGTTTCCAATTGCCCTTGGCCGCCATTTTCATTTGTGCAGCTTCTCTGTTCAAAGATGCCTTCACCCGAACCAGCACAGCCTGTATTATTTTTTCTTTTAATTAACAGAACAGACACAGGGTTAAGGTAATTTAACTCAAAGATAATTCTTATTGGTCTTTTTAACAGCTTATAAGTACCAAATAATGCAATAACCCTGTTACATAATAAAAGGATGTATTGGTTTGTATATATTCAGAATTACTTGTGCAGATACTATATTTACAGAATAAATACAGGAACCAATGGGAGGTAAGAAGATCTAAAGAAAATTTTAAAATAAGGTAGCTCTTTACCATAATCATAATGAAATAAATGTAGATTGCTCAGTAGTTTTTAGAAGTATAAATTTGGTATTCAGCTTGAGAAAGAGAATGAAAAGAATCAAATTCTTTGTGATGAGAGAATTCTAGTCCATTTATACCAAATAATGAAAAACTAGTGGCCATTTCTAGTTCACTACCATTTCCTATAGGTGTTTTATTTAGATATAGTCCCCTGTATGCTAACAATTGTACAAGTCCTAAAATTAACCTTTATTATAATGCACTCCTCACTTGAAATCCACTTGAATTGCAAATTGTTCAGTTCTTATATTTGATTGTGTTTTCCAGATGTTTGAAATAAAAATAAGGAGTGCTTTCTAACAGAAGTAAAACAATTATTTCAAAGATATTATTCACAAGATTCATTGAAAAACATATTTTAATGAAAATGTTTTGTAGTACAAGTGATTTCTAATTTTAACATAAATACATTCAAATCTGTTTCCCCCACCTCCAGGTTCCTTTCCTTCCAGTAAACAGAAAAGAAAATCAGTGCTGTAATCACTTAACATAACATGTGTGATTCTCATGAGTTACAAGAAAATAATCCAGGCTTTCATTAAGTAAGAATGTCCTGTATATTTTGGTTTAGCCTTATGATTTTATAAGACATATACTATAAGCAATCGATATCCTATAAAGATGAATACATGCTTATGCACAGAAGGTGCCAAAAATGCATATGTATTTTAAGAAAGGGAAAAACCATATTAAAATCATAATACACTCAATATTCGCTGATAACAAAAGATGAATACACCTCATGTTGAGCACCTCTTATAATTGCAGAAGTGAGACGGGACTTGAATATCACGATTTTAATGCAGTTTTTTCCTTTCTTAAATTGTGTATACATTTTTTGGTACCCTTTATATGCATTTTCTAAATAGTGTTGTGAAAAATTCTATAAAATTTGGTACATTTCTCTAAAATATAAATATTATATGAAACATATTCTTCTTTGCAAAGTATTTCAAGAATGGAAGAAAAAGTATGCAATGTACTCAATCCTACTATGAAACTAATTTATAGCTTTCATAAGAAAGCTATAACCCAATTATAGCCCAAAAATAAGGGGAAAAGGAGGGGAAGGGAGGGGGGAGGATGGACAGAGGGAGAGTAATCGTTGGGACCACACCTACGGTGCATCTTACAAGGGTAATTGTAAACTTACTAAATGTAGAATATAAATGTCTTAACACAATAACTAAAAAAATGCCATGAAGGCTATGTTAACCAGTTTGATGAAGATATTTCAAATTGTGTATAAAGCCAGCTCATTGTACCCCATGACTGCATTAATGTACACAGAGATGATTTAATAAAAAAAAAGAAAAGAAAAAAATGGTTATATGCATTTGTGAAGCATTAGGTTAAAAAAGTCCAATAGGTTAGTTTACTCCAAAACTTCTCAGAGAATTTAGGATGCTATTATGTAACATGAATTCCCAAGAAGAAAATACGACCCACAACACTGGCTACTCATTTTCACATCAAAATGTATTTGGAAGTGAGGGGAAAAAACGAACACATTTTGAATATAGTTTGGAAAATCCTGGCTGAAGGCAAGAAAACAAATCAATTGAAATTAAGTAAAAGAAAAAAAAATAAAAGATCTAAGAGCACATAAATAAAATTATGAAGATTAGGTCATATAAAATGTCAAAAATAAAGCTACTCAGATACCGTTACCTGATTTAAGAAGAAGGATATGTTAATAAAAAGAATTCCTAATCTGGAAATGAAGTTGTTATAAAATGTTCTTTTTAGACCTGTCAACCCTAAAAACTTTCATCCTTTCCACCTTCCTCCCTTCTTTTCTTTTAACCTCCCTTTTCTGCATTTATTTATTTATTGAGTACTATTACTATACACAGGGAATATAGTATTGTTCATAATTTATGCTATAGTGAGTGACACAGAAATTAATTGCAAAAAATGTAAATTGTTTTCTATGATAAATACTACTAATAGAGCTGCATGAGGCAAAGGAATTAAAAGTAGTGATTCGATAGGATTCCCTGAAGAAATAATGATTAAGGAAATATGTAAAAGATTAAAAATATTTAACAACACAGGATGGAAGGGAAAAATAGGGTGAGTGTTAAGTTTAAGAGAATTTAAAGGTCCTGAAAGTCACCTAACAGTTTTAAGCCAGAAGAGATTGTGTTCACTAAGGGTGATATCATGTACAGAACATTGATGATGAAGTTAAAATTGCTGAGTTCAAATTGCAGATTCACCATGCACTAGCTATGTAGTCCTGAGATGGCTATTCAGATTCTCTGTGCCTCAGTGTTTCTGCATCTATAAGACAGGGACAAATAGTAGTACCTGCCGTAATCTGTAAGGTGCCTTTAACAACACCTCTCTCATGGTAAGTACTAAGTAAGTGTTATTTATAAATATTACTTTGTATAGGTGTGTGTGTTTCTTCTTGGCACTGTGCCTAAAACAGTTGGGAGGGAACCGAGCCTAGATATAAGGAGATCAGTTAGAATCCCAGTCTTAATACAAGTTAGGAAAGGAAAATAAAAGGTTGTGTGGAGAACAAGGGCCTTGGTGGTCATGGTGGGAACAGGGGGAAATGGACATATGTGAGAGCATTAGGAGATAAAATGTCACTGTTTGGTCATGGCCTCCCTTCCTCAAGAAAAAAAAAGGCAGCCATCTCTACCTGCAAAATACTCTGCCACCATCACCAGTTATTCATTAACTTTCAGAACCTGGGTTGGCACAAGTGGATATTTGCACCCAAGGGAATCATGGCAAATTACTGCCACGGAGATTGTCCATTCTCACTGACCACCTCTCTCAACAGCCCCAATTATCCTTTCACGCAAGCACTGATGCATATAGTTGACTCTGAGATCCCCCAGGCTGTTTGTATCCCACCCAGCTCTCTCCCATTTCCATGCTCTTCCAGGACAATAATGGCATTATTCTACAACATTATGAAGACATGGTAGTTGACGCATGTGGGTGTGGGTAGGATGTCAGAAGTAGGAATTGAAGGAGTATTCTTTGGGGAAATCTTCTAATAAAACTACCTGACATGTCAAAAAAAATAAATAAATAAAGAGGGTGTTAAGGATTCTGGTTTGCACAAGAGAAAAGATGGCAGAACATTTTCTGAGAGGGACGTACGCAGAGAAGGTCATGGGTTTGGTATTGGACGTAGTAGAAACTGATGTGAGTCATCCAAGAGCTGTCCTGTAAAATGAGGAACAAATGATGCTTAGAGTTACAAGGAGACATGTAGAGCAGTGGTTCTCAACCTTCCTAATGCCGTGGTGTATTTTCATTGTTACAAAGGGGTTGCAACCCACAGGTTGAGAACCCCTGAGCTAGATGGATAGGTAGACATATAGGAACAATTCTCTAGGTCTTATGAATGTATCCAATAATTTTGGAAGAATTCCATGTTTAAAGATTCATACTCTCCTGGAGTAAAACTGATGAGGGACTGGGGACAGATTAGGAGAATGCAGGCATTATTTTAAATACTGACAAATAAAGCAATGAATGATGGAATAATCCTTCTTTATATAACTCTTTTTTTTTATTTATGCACATAAAGATTCCCTGAAGTTCTCAAATATATGCTGTTCTCTTTCTTGATGTCATATATGATGTGATTATTATTTAAAAAATTTGAGATTAATAGCTAGAAGATAAGCTCAAGTCATTTTATAAATTCTGAGCTGTTAATAATCATCCAATCTCTCATTGTATAGACCTAATTAAAACAGAAAACAAAATAAAATAGCATTATCTCTGTTCTCTCCTTGTGGATATCATGGACCCAATTCCTAGGCAAGAAAAAAAGGGCACTGATGAAAGGAAAAGGAATATATAATTACAGAGAATGAAAAATTTATTTGCAAATGTTATTTTAAAAAATTCTTTTTGTGATAAGAACTCTGCGGCAAAATTCTTTAAATTCCCCAAATCCTTTTAAAAACAAACTAGATCGCATAACTGGGAAGATAGTAAAACTTCTCAGATGACATCTTTGATAAAACTAGTGTCAAAGAATCCAACACACCCTCAGTAATAATTGGGTAAAAGTGTATGTGTAAGAGAGAGGAGAGAAGTTGTTTTTCCTACTTAGACCCAACACATCTCTTCATCTCCGTTCACCAAGATGTAAGGGGATTTATGCCCACCAACAACCAGTTCTCTGGGAGATACTACCTGGGGGTCCCAAACTTCAATTTAATTCTGACACTATCTACCTAGGGATAGTGTCAGCTCCCAGAGAGAGATTGAGGGCTCAGTTCCACAGAGAGCCAGCCCCACCCATTTCAGGCACCAATCACAAGTCGTAGTTTGTCATCTACACTTCTGACCCACCAGAATCTTCCAGGACAATTTGGAATCTCCCCAATAAATATGATCCCACTGTAGAACTTAATGCTGTTAAGGAAATATAATACAATTTGCAAAATCACAGAAGCATTATCCCTAAATTTGTGTTTATTGTTCTGCTTTTGGAAAAATATCACTTTCTCTGTGACATTCAGCTGAGTAAACGAAATGC